GCTCATCATCGCCTCGTCCTCACATTTAGACCGGCCCCAGCGCCGAAGTCCTTATCTAGCGACCAGGCTCGCCATTCCCTTCCTGGATGGTGACCGTCGCCTTCATATGACGCATGGCTTATCATCGCCTCGTCCCCATATTCGGACCGGCTCACCAGCGCCATCGTCCCCATATTCGGACCGGTTCGTCAGCGCGGTCGTCCTCATATTCGGACCGACTCATCAGCGTCGTCGTCCTCATATTCAGACAGGCGTCCACCGCCTCGTCCCCCTATTCAGATATAGCGAACATCTTGCGGTCTCCGGCCGAAAGGCTGAAGGAGCCCAGAGTTCAGCCATATATCGCACCGTCATCTGTATTTGATGACGCGAAGCTCATTTGCAGGCCCATCGGCCATATATCGCTCTGTCATCTTTATTTGATGATGAAGAGCTCATTTGTAGGCCCATCGGCCATATATCGCTCTGTCATCTTTATTTAATGACTAAGAGCTCATTTACAGGCCCATCGGCCATATCTCGCTCCGTCATCTTTATTTGATTATGTGGGGCTCTCAAGTAGGCCTCTCGGCCATACGTCGCCCCGTCATCTTTATTTGATGACGTGGAGCTCTCATATAGGCCTCTCTCGGCCATACATCACCCCCTCATCTTTATTTGATGATGTGGGGCTCTCATGTAGGCCCCTCGGCCACACCATCGCCCCGTCATCTTTATTTGACGACGCGGAGCTCTTATGCAGGCCCCTCGGCCGCACCATCACCCCGTCATCTTTATTTGACGACGTGGAGCTCTTATGAAGGCCCCTTGGCCGCACCATCGCCCCGTCGTCTTTATTTGACGACGTGGAGCTCTTATGCAGGCCCCTTGGCCGCACCATCGCCCCGTCGTCTTTATTTGACGACGTGGAGCTCTTATGCAGGCCCCTCAGCCACACCATCGCCCCGTCATCTTTATTTGACGACGTGGAGCTCTTATGCAGGCCCCTCGGCCGCACCATCACCCCGTCGTCTTTATTTGACGACGTGGAGCTCTTATGCAGGCCCCTTGGCTGCACCATCGCCCCGTCGTCTTTATTTGATGACGTGGAGCTCTTATGCAGGCCCCTCGGCCACACCATCGCCCCGTCGTCTTTATTTGACGACGTGGAGCTCTTATGCAGGCCCCTCGGCCACACACATCGCCCAATCGTCTTTATTTGACGACGTGGAGCTCTATGCAGGTCCCTCGGCCATACATCGCCTCTCCGTCCTTATGCGACAACGTGGAGCTCTCGTACAGGCCTCTCGGCCCATCGGCCTTACGTTCTGGTCATCTTTATTTGATGAACCAGACATCATATTGTGGACGGTCGCTCGACCCATCCCTTAGTCATCTTTATTTGATGACTAGGACTACTGATCATGATGAGCTACCCACATCTAGAGATCGGCCTCGACCATCCAGCAGACGGGCACCGCTGCAGCTCCATCTCCAGGCCAAAGGGCTCGCACCTTTTGTTTCATTTTGGGGGCATCCGGTGTACTCTTTTTCCCTCATTAGGATTTTTTCCCACAGGGTTTTTCCTAATGAGGTTTTTAACGAGGCATCTCCCCATCGTGGATCAAAAGGTGTCAACCCTCGGCCCCCTGTTGAAGACATCATCCGACACGCATTACTCTACTCCTCTTCACCTCATTACACTCGCCTCAAGGAGTGGGGGACTGGAAGAGCGGGGGACTTAGCGTCTCCGTTAACCAAAGAAGCGGAAATTCAAATTTTTGTTCATGAAGTTTACTCACCAGACGGCGACAGATCAGCACACAGTTCTACTCTCTTTCGCCTCGAATACTCTCGACTCAGAGAGTGGGGGACTCCTGATAGAGTATATAGACTCGGACCCCCGGGTCTCACGACTATTGGGCCCGGACAACGGCCCACACACATCTTACGAATATCATTTGTATTATTGTACCGCTTATATGTCATTTGTATGTAACTATGTACTAGATTAGTCTTTTATGTAGTTGGGCTACTGGGCCCATATTAGCGGCCCGACCCATTATTTCCCTATTTATACTCCTCTTGGAGCCATTTGTAACCCTAGAATCATTATACACAATATCATTTCTACTATTCATCCATCTTCTCCAATTATCTAGCTCAATCTCTCCATTTTAATATACTTTGGATACCCTATAATCCATCAGAAAGTTATCCCGCTTAATTGTTAGCCAATTTATCTTATACTTAAGATAACTAATTATGAGAGAGAAAATTATCCTGCTCAATTGTTAGCCGGCTTATCTTCTTCTTATATACCTAAAAGCACTACATATGAGAGAAATTTTGGCCTCTCAATTGTTAGCTGACTTATCTTATACTTAAAAACATTCCATATGAGAGAGAGAAAATTATTGCGCTCAATTGTTAGTCGACTTATCTTATACCTAAAAACACTACATATGAGAGAAAAATTATCCCACATGCATCCTCCACAAATGTGTAATGATTCACCTATTAACAATTTTATTCAGTGTCTTCTACATCTTCATTACTTAATTACATAATTCCATTTTAATTAACTTTCCACCATTGGATTGTTAGTTCTTTGAGTTTTTTTCTTCATACGGAGTATATCTTTTGAATTGCAAGAACTTCTAGTTCGCAAGTTTATTTTCATTTGGCTTCTTATTCGAGTTGATAATCTACTCTAGTGCTTCTTTCATGGTCCATTGACTCGTGAATAAATAAATTTTGTGTAAGTCTCATATGATTTCATCATTTATTGGTAAATCAACTTTGATTCACTCGGAGTCAAAAGCACTATATGGTACTCTTTTTATCACTATATACAGATCTTTCCAGCAATAATATTTGATCAATAGAGGATGCTCATAAGTCTATCTCATTTGTATGTAAATAGTTGGATGTCCAAAATAGTAATCCAATTCAAGTATATTTATATTTTTGAATCACTTACATATTACTATTCTAAATATATTATTTCAACATTTTGATTTTTAATGAAGTGTAATTTTTTAAGATTCTCATTTTTTTAATTTAAAAAGTCCTTTTTTTAAAAGTCCTTTAATTGGTTGAAATTCATGATGTCGAGCATGAAAACTCATGATGCTCATGTAATCATGCAACGACTTCTGCTGATTGCACTGAAAGAGATGCTTCCTGCAGACGTCTGGGGCTGTATTACCGAAATCAATCAATTGTTTCAGTCGATATGTTCCATCGTTTTGGATGTCGAATCCCTCAGGAGACTAGAAGACATTGTTCCTATTCTGATGTGTAATCTGGAAAAAATACCGCCCGCGTCATTTTTTGATGTAATGGAACAACTTCTAATACATCTTCCGTATGAGTCTTTGAATGGAGGGCCCATCTTTTATCGTTGGATGTACAGATTTGAAAGGTTAGTCACAATTTCATTTATAAAGGATGATTTGTTTAATAAGAACATGCATTTGTTTGTTTACAAATTTTATTTTGCATGACATATTTCTGGGAGATTTGAAAAAGAAAGCGACCAACAAGGCACACATTGAGGCTTCAATTTGTCAAGCATATTTTGACAAACAAACAATGACGTCGAGCATGAAAACTCATGATGCTCATGTAATCATGCAACGACTTCTGCCGATTGCACTGAAAGAGATGCTTCCTGCAGACGTCTGGGGCTGTATTACCGAAATCAGTCAACACGTTATTGTTACTTTCATGTTCTAACTTTGATATTTAGAGCCAGTTTATTAACACCAAATTGACTAAATCGCCTGATTCCTTAGAAATTAATGAAACTTTGACAAAAGTGGCTGAATTGGTTGAAATTGATATTTTTAAATATGGTGAATTTAATTTAAATTATATTTTATTAATGAATCAAATAAAAAATTTATATGAGAAGTAGTTAAAAATGATTTTATATAATAACTTCAGTCGAATTAGTCAAAAAAATAATTTCAATAAAGCTAAACTTAAATAGATCAAAGCAGTATAAAACAAACCAAAAATGATAAATCTATATTTTCATATTTGCACCTTTTTTCTTAAAAATAAAGAATAATAAATTAAACTAAATTTAGAAGTTTTATTTTATTAGAACTCGATGTGATTATCATTTTCATTGGCTAATTTTTTTATTCTCCAGTGACATTATAATAGGAAGGAATAAGGTTTGCAATAGTTTAACGAAGGGAGTAGAATACAAAATGAAAAATAACGTTATTTTATTGTGGGCACAAATAAAATATCCCAATATAAACATATTTTGATAGCACCTGTAACGGGAAAGCCAAATTACAATAGATTTTTATTAATCACAAGGTTGATGAATTTAAATTACTCATCGTCTTCAATTTAGACCAACTTGAAGTTTTTTATTAGAACTGGTTAGATTTTCATTTGCGGATTTTTTATAATCAAACCAGTGCATATCAAATTATAAAATATTTAAGAAAGTTTTCTTAAATAAATTTAGTATTTTTAGATTTTTTCTTTCATGGTCTGATTTTGATTTTAGAGACGTTTAGAAGTACTGAAATTAGTTGAATATGTTGAAATGGATGAAATTCTGAGAGAAGTGGTTGAATTAGTTGAATCAATTATTTTATGGATAAATTTAATTTAGAATACTTTTATTAATGAAATAAAGAAAACCATTATAAGAAAAGTAGCTAAAAATGATCACCTACAACCATTATAAGAAAACCATTAGTTGAATATGTTGAAATGGAGACACATATGATTTAATAGGGATAAAATTGTTTTTAGATGAATTATTTGCTTTCTTATGTATAAATAGATTATGACGTGCAATGCAGGGGTTGAAGTTTTTATAATATTATTACAACCGCGCACAAAAAAAACTATCCTATATAAATTGGAGATGAGTTAAGGAATAATTGATTAGTGAAAAAAGAACAATAATGCATATTTATTTACTGAAATTGGAAAGTTGAATACCACAATATATTTGAAAGGAGCCGTTTTTTTCGGTAAACCGCCACCTACAGAGCGCATAAAGCTTGGACATATAAGAGCTCTCTCTCTTTCTTCGCCTGAACAGTGCCATTTCCACCCATCAATAAATGATTCGTTTCCTCCTTTCATTAAAGCTTATGCATTCCTTCTGCTGTGATACTACTTCGCGAAATCCTTTAACCATTCCCCAACCCAGTCCGCGGTCAGCAACCTCCCTCGCCATGTCCTCGCCCTCATCCTCCGCATCCGCCACGCCGTGGCGGAGGGCTCAGCTCAAATTACGCTCCGTCTCCGACGGTCACCGCACTTCGTCTCCTCAGAACACGCTTCTTGCGGTGAGGATTAACCAGACGGCGGGGAATGGAATCTCCGGAATACTGTACAAATGGGTGAATTACGGGAGAGGATGGCGGCCACGATGGTTCGTCCTCCAGGACGGCGTCCTTTCCTATTACAAAATTCACGGGCCCCGTAAGATTGTCACCAATCACCAGACCGAAAAAGGTTCCATGGTTATCGGTCAGAAGTCGTTTCGCCGAATCAATAGCTGTTCTCAAAGTCCCGCTTCTTCCAAATCCCTCGGCCGCAAACCCTGTGGAGAAATCCACCTTAAGGTGATTGATTCTCTGCTGTACTTTATTTACATTGGATTTGAATTCTCCCGAGCTTCTGTGCATTTACATGCTCAAAACGGTTAATCAGAATTCGGTCGTCAAAGGTACTATTACTTTAGGAAGTAGTCAGGAGAAATTTCTTAATTGGTCTAATAAGTGGCCATAAAGCAATGCACTAGGATAGATACATGTCTGATCTAATCAAATGTGATGATAGATAGCTCCATCCACCTGAAACTCTGTGCATCTATTATAATGGGGACTAGACGCTTTCACATTTTCTAAATTGTTCCTACCAGCTAAATACTGAAATAATACATCATATTTTCACAAGAATAAGCAATGTGGGTTGTATTTGTCATGTTTTATTTTGAAGGTGTTCCTTATCCAGTTTAGCTGGGGTTAAACTATTCTGGTTGTAACTAGTGCAGTGTTTATAGGTGTCATCTGTGAGGGAAAGTAGATCAGATGATAGGAGGTTTTCATTATATACTGGGATGAGAACACTGCATTTGAGGGCAGAGACGAGGGATGATCGGATTACTTGGATAGAGGCACTGTTGGCAGCAAAAGAAATGTCCCCTCGGATGCCAAATGAGGAACTTCTAATCACCCAAATCAATGAGACTATGGCCATGTCAACTGAGAAGCTCAGGAAGAGGCTGATGCAGGAGGGTGTTTGTGAGGCTGCGATTCAGGACAGTCAACAGATTATACAGAGTGCGTTTGCAGCTTGGAAAAAAGATCTGCTTCTCCTCAAGCAAAAAGAGTTGCAGCTGATTGACAAACTGCGGCAGTTGGAGGTATGTATATGAGTTTACATCCCTTCTATGCTTGGTGCAGTAGTCATGCCAGCTTCTCATTAGTCAAGTCTTGTGTCCGAACATATATGCTAAAAAAGTAGATGAATTCATTGTTTGTAGGAATCCTGTTATTCCTGTAAAAGTGTTCGTTACTATTGAAACTATGAATGTGGCGGCTATACATATGCAGAACTAGCAGTAGTGGGACTACATCCTAGACTCTTGTCTACAATAGATAACGTGACACACTATCACAGTTACACGTTCTTCTTGTCAAAATGTTAAATCTTGTTGCCTTCAGCATTCACACCTTCAGCATTTGTTTATATGTATTGACTTGGTGTTTGACCTATGGTGCACTGTTGGGCTCTGTTGTGAGAGCCATTTTTTAAAGAATTATAAGTGGTAGACTAACGACCACCTTACTACATGTAGGCGGCATTTGTCACTTCCGTTTCATTTAAGCTCTCGAGAAAGCAGTACAAATGTGCATTTTTCTCAGAAAAAGAATCCAATTCCCGTACCAATTTTCCCATGTTCTCAAGGAATCTGACCAATTTTTCTCAGGTCCAAGCATTACCAAGCAAATTTCTTTCTTAACTTTTCGGGCTTACAAACGCCATCTAGCCTAGACACTTAGGTACTGTTGCATGCACAACCAGCTCTTATATAGCCACTGGTCCTTATTATAAGAAACAATTTTGCTTTTCTGTTATAATGACTAACGAAATGATTCAAAGCATTTAAAATAATTGTCACTTTTTCTAATATGAACTTAACATTTTTATGGAGAATATGTTTAGAGTTATCAAGAAGGAATTCAGGAAGAAAATAAATAGCTGTGCACTAAGAATACAAAGTAACATATATTTAGAATCACCATGATATGCCTTTTAAATAGGACATGAGAGGGTAGTGTCTTATGTTGGATTTGCAGTTACTTTTGTAGTTATGAGAAAATCTAGGTGCCCCTATTGATCAGTGACTCCCCCCCCCCCCCCAACTGAGAAAATTAGCCATGTTCATTCAATTCATAAAGCTGGAAGTATGAAGTTTCTGCTTTTGGTCATTTCGTGTACCGGAGAAAACTAGCTAGGAACCTAGAATCTTTCTTGATTCGTATACATACCAACTATATAGAGGATGTCATCTATTTATTTGCATTTGTGCTGGCAGTGTGGACTTTTTTTTGCGGAAATAGGTTTTCTCATATATGGAAAAGGGATGTTGGACCCTCAACCTCACAGATCGAAATGCCTCTCTTTAACTGTTTAGCCAATTTAGATGGTAATTAGGAGTAATCATCCAAATATAATTACTCTTAGATTTGTCTAGGACTAATACCATAATTGTGAATTATACACTGGATCTTTGAACAATGTTTTGTTCACTCAACACAGGCAGAAAAAGTTGACCTCGAGAACACGCTTGTTGATGAGAGTCAAAGGCATGCAAAGACTTCTCTTTTCCAGGACAAATTTAGAGGTAGTCTGTTAGCTTATTGATGTTACATGGTACTCCTTTCTTGTTTTATGCTTACTGCTTTGCTCTGGTGCATGGTTTACTTGTCCTAGAGCTCGGGTGTGTTTGGTTATGTTTGGACATGGTTGATATTTGAGTTTGGTCTTAAAATGTATTCTAAACCCTACGCCTTTGCAACTGTCAACTGTTCATTTATATTGCACATTATGTGTTTGAAAGAACATCCAAGAGCTTTTAGCTCAGAGTGTAACTTAGTTGCTGATGCTCAGTAGCTACACAGATGAGGAAAGGACTGTAGCAACTAGAAGGTTGAGTTGGAAATGAGTAAATGAATAGCCAAGATAGAAACCAAGTTCTAGACTAAGATGCAAAAATCAGATGCACAAGTGAATTCTTTAAAGTATAAGACAAGCGGCGCTTGAGAATGAAAGGCACAAGGTCCTCAGTTTCCAAGGATCAAAACAAAGTGAGTTCTTGAGAATGAAAGGCGTTCCAAAAAATAAAATTGGAATGTTAGTGCCTCCTAAGAAAAGAATTTGAATTAAAATCGCCATTTCGACTATCCATCTAAAACCATTATTTCGATTTATTACTTATTTCCCCACTAACCATCAAAATGAATATAATTTGGCCTTTCACACTTTTCCCATATTATGAAGTTGGATTTGTAGTTGCTGAATTTAACTTGATAAAATATTGTATCTTCCTTTAGCTTTATGCGCCACACTCACTTTAGGTTTGAAAATATCTTTCTGTGCCACCAATAACTTTTTATGTCAATGTGCTTCCATATATATGTGTGTGTGGCTGTGTGCCGTGTAACCCTTTTGGTAGGATGTTCTAAGTTCTAACCAATCTCTTTTGTTCTTGGTTATGTGACAATTTCAGAAGGAAGCGTGAATGAATCAGATGATGACAATGATAGACATCCTCTTGCAGATGAAGATAGTGATGGTGATGATGATGAAGACATGTTTGCTGATGCTCGAGATTTTCTTTCTTCAAATTCATTCAGAAAACAAGGGAGTGGTGATAGAAAACCATTATCTGATTCTGATGATGAAGGAAGTCATCCATCTCAAAATACAATATCAGTTGAAAACAAATATCCTTATGTGAAGCGCAGAAATAGATTGCCGGACCCACTCGAAGAAGAGAAGGGAGCAAGCCTGTGGTCAATGATCAAAGATAACATTGGGAAGGATCTAACTAAAGTCTGCCTTCCAGTATATTTCAATGAACCACTATCTTCCCTGCAGAAATGTTTTGAAGATTTTGAATACTCTTACCTTCTCGATCAAGCATATGAATCAGGAAAAGGGGTAAGTTCATTTGAGAATAGCTATCCAACAAATTCTTTTTAAATGAAGTTTGTTCTTGAAACTAAGGTTATTTTCTGCTCTGGTTACCTTTTGGTTCCCCACTTTTTCTTTGCTCTCGTTTTTTGGATTACTTAGAAGTTCCATGGGTAGTGTGCCTTTTGTTTAGTATATCATGTTTCTAGAACTTCAAGTACTATAGCCTTTTTGTAGTTTCGCACATGTGGAAACTTGCCTAAATACATTCCTATTTTTAGGAATATCATTTGCTGAACTAAATTGGATGCTGCTAAGTCTTCTCTCTTGAATTACCACTCTAGTCTTACCACAATGATTATCTTTATGCATTAGACCATCTGAGTAGACCTCTGTGAGACATATCAGACCAGACCTGTATGAGAAAGTTTCCTTTTCAACACTTGTATATTTTTAGGAGTGAACTACTTTCCCTAGGTTACTAACATTTAATTCTGTCATACTCCCATATGACCATATTGGGGCCTTTCAAGGGAGAGTTACATATATATGTTTAAGTATGAAATCGAGCCGCAGAGATCTGGTTTTGCACCCTTAAATACACCTCCTAATTGATTGCGTTCATGACTTTGCAATAAGAATACAATTGCTAGTTAATAAGTTTATCAGATTTTATAAATGGACTAGACGACTAGTAAATAACTACTGAAGAAGTCGGTGCAACTACACACCTGCTGAAACAGAACATCACCCGGGCGCACCATCTCGCCATCACTGTTATCAAATTGAAGGAGAAAAAAATAAGCACAAGAGGTTCTTTAATGTTCTGTAGAAATGACTATGATCAAATTTATATTAGAATTCTGTATACTTGCACTTTCTTCTTGCAGGAACATATCAATATAATATATATGTAGTACTACTCATATATGGAGTAATTTTTTAGTGTGAAATCACACCCATTTTACCATTGCAGGGTAATAGCTTTATGAGGATGCTTAAAGTAGCAGCATTTGCTGCATCTGGATACGCTTCCACTGATGAAAGACAATGCAAGCCATTTAATCCTTTACTTGGTGAAACTTTTGAAGCTGATTACCAAGACAAGGGGTTACGGTTCATCTCAGAAAAGGTAATGGTTGCCACAATGGAAATTCTTTTGGTATTGCTTCTTTGGATTATTTCCGCATCTTTGTCATCCTCCATGGACCTATCGTTTTAGTGTCATTATTCTTCGATTTGTGATAGTGGATTTACATACTATTGGGACTTATTTCTCCAAGCTATTGGACGCAGACTTTGAGTCTGGCAGAATAGGAGCAGATAAGAAATTGATATATTTGGGAGAAACAGTACTTGTGTATCTGTCTATTTGATGGTTCGACTTGATAAGAGAACGAGTTAACATAGAGAGTCGGGATAAAATACAAGCTCTACATTTTATTTCAAATATACAGTAATTGTAAAATAAGATTTCATGCCTTCCGATGTACATATATAGTAATAATAGTTATGATGATAAATTGATGATGATGATAACAACAACAACAAAAGTAATAATAACAATAATGATAATATGAATAACAATGATAATTATGCTAATGATAGTGATAATAACGACGAGTCAACGACGACAAGCACAACAATAATAAGATATCCACCCTCATGTAAGATGAAATTTGATATATAAAGGGGAAAACATTGGTCTCTAATAACAATAATGATAATATGAATAACAATGATAATTATGCTAATGATAGTGATAATAACGACGAGTCGACGACGACAAGCACAACAATAATAAGATATCCACCCTCATGTAAGATGAAATTTGATATATAAAGGGGAAAACATTGGTCTCTAAGAGAGAGAGGAAGTGATCCTGTTAGTATTATTATTTTCATCTTATTCTCTTTCTTTTATTGGACAATTCATTAATAGTAAGCACTTAAACAGTGGTGTCTTGTTTTCTGTTGACTGGGTTTCTGAAAAAAATGAAAGAAAAAGAAAAGGAGACAAGAAAGAGAAAACGTGGGATCATTTTATTCCATTCAGTTTTGCATTGTCATTTTCTTAAAACCCTTGAAGACTCTCTTTCCCTAAAACATAGGTTAGTCATCATCCAATGATCCTTGCATTCCACTGTGAAGGACGTGGATGGAAAATATGGGCAGATTGCAACCTGAAGAGTAAGTTTTGGGGTAGATCCATTCAGATTGACCCTGTTGGTGTAATTACATTGGAGTTTGATGATGGAGAAGTATTCAAGTGGAGAAAGGTATCTCGATGTCACTAAACATCATTTTCATGTAGTTCTTGCTTTGCCTGATAAAATTTTGGTCTTTCTCTCTCAGGTTACAACTTCTATATACAACCTCATTCTTGGAAAAGTCTACTGTGATCATTATGGAACTATGAATATCCAAGGAAATCGAAACTACTCCTGCAAGCTTAAATTTAAGGAGCGTTCTCTCATCGATCGAAATCCTCACCAGGTACAATGATATTTTTTTCTTTCTTGTATTGCCCATTCTTGGCAATCTCTCTTATGTCTTCTTTCAAGGAGGAAATGTCCTAAATGATGGGAATTTGGTCTATACTTTCTTTTCACTCTCAAAAAAAGGAAAATGTTGCTTCAATATATGTGCATGGCCATTCTTCAATAGCTCTTAGATGGGAGTTTCCGAATCAATCATATCAGTATCTTCTTCGTTTCTAGTTAAAACTTCAGCGCCTCCATTCGTAGTGTCTTCTTTTACATTTATCGTAACTTTTTTATATATAAGGTACATGGAGTTGTAGAAAATAATGGAACGCCAGCAGCAACACTGTTCGGGAAATGGGATCAGTGCATTCATTACTGCCAGGAGGATTATTTAGGGAAAGACAAAGGATCGGCTTCAATGTCAGATGCACATTTGTTGTGGAAAAGAAACCAACCATCAAAATTTAAAAGCAAATACAACTTCACGGACTTCGCAATCACCCTTAATGAACTGACTACTGAGCTAAAGGTAAACCATGAGATATTATCATATGCACTAAACAGTACTACAAAATACCACCTAATTAGTGATCTCCTAAAATATAAACAGGAGAAATTGCCACCAACAGATTCAAGGCTCAGGCCTGATCAAAGATTTCTGGAAAATGGCCAGTACCAAATGGCTAACGCAGAAAAGTTACGTTTGGAACAGAGGCAGCGCCAGGTGATACAATATTCCTTTTTATTACAGTCATGTCAAAAGCAGTATTTCTTTTACATTCAGTTACAAATAAGATAACTTTAGTGCTGAATAATGTTATTGAATTGTAATCTCATTTTAAAAAATAAAATAGAAAGAGGAGATAGTCTTCAGCTTAGTTACAAAACTGTTGTGTGAGAATGCAGGCGGTTATGATGCAAAAAAGTGGATGGAAACCTAAGTGGTTTTCAAAAGCATCAGACAGTGATGGATACAGGTACAATGGTGGATATTGGGAGGCAAGAGAGCACGGAAACTGGGAGTCATGCCAAAATATCTTTGGTGCAGTAACTACCACTTGACCTGCAAACTTATCGGATCCATGTAGTTTCTATAACACGTTGTGCAGCCTCGTATAAAAGAAAAAGGACAGTATTGCAAATTACAAAAACCTAGTGCCACCACACAACAAACTGTAGATAGATACAATTGCGCTGGTGGTTCTGTAGGTAGACAAAAGTTCCAACTTTTTGTTTGTAGATAAACAACATTCCATTGTTCAGTCCTACTGCTCCATAGGGTTTTATATATAGGAAATAGATTATCCAACTTCTTGTAATAGAAACAGTGAAAAGTCTGATGTGCCATATGATTCAATACAATATACAAAACATTACAAATTTTTTAAGAAAAATTTCAATGACAGAACTGTGTATAACATATGCAATTGCAGAAGACATGTTATTATAAAGATTTATTACAGGAGGAAGAGGATGAGGTGCCTGTTATTATCATCTAGGGCCAGAGAGTTGATGAGAAGACTTGAAAGAGGACTTGTAAAAACTACAGGTATCACTGCTGCCCACATTTGCGATTTCGTGCTGATAGAAATGCACCATATTCTGCTCATTACCCTCCGCCTGAGATGTTTCGGTGAACCTCCTGCCATAGAAGCGCAAGAAATTGAGGGACCCCACCTGAGGATCACCCAGAGGTAGCCCTCCTTCTAGCATCCCAACCACATTTGTCATGGTCGGCCGCAGAGCTGGATCTTCGTGTAGACAGCAGAGAGCCACCCTGACCAGTTTCTCCACTTCCTCGGTCTGTACCTCCCCTGCCAGCTGCGGATCCACCAGCTCCAGGTACCTGTTTAAAATATCTTAGTTGTAGCAGTCAAAGTATTGGTAGAAAAAACAACACTAGGGCCTAGGGGCTAGTCCTTTAAAATTGGTCTGTTAGTTTCTATGTAATAAACACTGAATTAATCTGTAAAAATCAATATGTATTAGTCTCTAGAAATCATTATGACTTTGTACATCAAAAGTCTCATCAAGAAGTACTCGATTATTGGGAAAAATCATATTGCGACAAACATATATCATCTTTTTACAAATGCAATTAAACGAATCATAGAACATTGAGTAATTACTACTCTCCCCCATCCATAAGGAAAAAGTGGCTATGTTGCGGTGTTTCAGTGACTCAGTGGCTCACTTACTCTAGTTAGTGAATGACAGAGTTTTTTCGAGGTTTAGTACTTGTTTCATTTCATTTATTTACTATTCAGTGATTTCAGTCTATTCTAAGACAAGAACTTAGGATTTCAGGAATTTCAGATAACCTTAATTTATCATCTTAGATAACCTCCTAGAACCTCAAGAAACCTATATATGTCTATGAATTACTCTTCACATTATTACTTGTATCTAATAATACCTCTCTTCCTCATGCATCTCCAGGACAAGTAGGGGGAAATAATCCCACCGAGCTTCCTCCTCACCCCTACAATTCTTCTTGCCGCTCACAAGTTCCAGCAACACCATCCCGTAGCTATACACATCCGTCTTCTCTGTGATGGAGGAGTTTGTCAGCCACTCAGGAGCTAAATACCCTCTAGTCCCTCTCAATGTAGTGAACCAGCTAGATTGCTCTGAAGACATCAGCTTGGACAGCCCAAAATCTGAGATCTTAACTTGCAAGCAGTTGTGGTAGTGAAGGAGGATGTTTTCCGGCTTGACATCACAATGAATGATCTTGGGTTCACACCCACTGTGCAAGTAAGCCAGGCCACGTGCGGTTCCGATGGCAATCTCGACCCTTTCCTTCCATTTCAACACGTTTGGGAGTGGGACCCCTCCATTCCTGCCGAACAGTGCTCGATCCAGCGAACTCCGGTTCATATACTCGTACACTAGAAATCTTGAATCTCTGTGTATGCAGAATCCCTTGAGTCTCACCAGATTGATGTGATGGATTTTCCCTATGGTCGCGATCTCACTGCAGAACTCCCTCTTCCCTTGTACTCCCAGTCGGCTCATTTTCTTCACTGCCACCTCTGTTCCGTCGGGAAGACTGCCTTTGTATACTGTCCCAAATCCACCTGAACCAATTTGTGACCCGAAATTGTCCGTTGCATCCGTGAGATGCTTGTAAGCTAAACTCACTGGCATCCCTGGGAGTGAAGCATATCCGACAAGCTCAGAAGAACAGGAATGAGAAGAATAACTGTTTGACATTCCGTTCATCTTGCAGGAATTTTTCCCCCTTTTCCAAACGACGACTAAAAAGGCCAATAAGGCAACAACGACTAATGGTACCAACACGGCAGCGTAAACCGGGATTCTCCGCTTTCCATTTTCCTGATTCGGATCCGTGGTCAATTTTATATAACCTAAACGGTCATTGGAGGTTACTTTCTTCTTTACTGAACCTAGGTAATCTCGAACCATGTAGCAAGATCCTGAAGATTGGCTGTGAAAAAATCCCAAGCAAGAACAGTTCCTCGAACAGATATCTTCACAGGTGGACAGATTCGTATCAAGCTCCAGCGGGTGAATGAATTCGTTAGTGAAGTAGTCCATGCCGCTTCCCAATTTTAAATACGAGATGGTCGAAATAATACTTCCAGTCGAACTCTTACATGAAGAAGAGTTCCCCGGCAATGGTAGCTTGCCGTTTAAGGGGACGCAACCGCCGTCTGACGTGGAATAACTATGAAATCCCGGCAGGCAAGAACACATGCCGCTATTGCAGACTCCTAGGCTCTGGCAAATGAATGGTGCCCAACAAGGGTCCGCCGGTGCGTTGAATCCACCGACTTCACTTCCAGCGCCGTTCAAGAGCATGGTGTTCAGTGCGCCATTGCTTCCCATCTTCAGGATCATGAAATCAGTAGGAGAGTTTATGAGAGTAACTTGTATTACAATCTCTGTTCCGTTTGATGCCACGAGGAAAATCCCGTTTCTCCTTAGCTCTGCGTATTCCACGCGCGTGTTTGTGTCTCGAAACGCGCCGCCGTACATGGATAATTTCCAGTAAACCATCTTCCTCCAGAGAAACACGGCGTCGTTCTCTGTGACGGAGAATTCGTAGTCCCCCACTGACGACAGGTCACCGTCCTTCAACGAGCTGACCAATGATCTCCCGACGAGCAACCGTTGACCAACCACCATCGTGTCAGTCGGGTAATCAAAGCTTTCCCATACAGAGTTATTTGACGAATCAAGTAGAACCAAATTCCCAGAATCTTGGAGTTGTAAGGAGGAAACAGAGGAGACATTGGGCGAAGTAAACAAGGGAGTTGACCAGATAGGTCTGCCGGAATCATCATAAAGTGCAAGGCCACGGCGGGAGAGATGGAGTTCAGCAGAGTCTGACACGGGAAAGTTGCGGTTGGCGGCCCAAACGACGGTATGAGAAATGGTATGGAAGATGACGAAGTAGAATGAACGTTCCTCCGGCCTGACGTTGGCTACGGCGGCACTGAATGTAGCGTCAGCCGAGGACAAGAATGCGCCGGAAGTATCAATGAATTTGGTGAAGGAAGCGGAGAAGTTAGGGGTTATGGAATGGAAGGAAAGAGGACCGCAAAGGGAAAGGTTTGAGGATAAGAGGAGGATAAGGACGATCAAGAATAGGGATAAAAACAGAGGAGGAGAAAAACTTCCCATCCCATGCATGGGAATGAGGACGGCGAAAAATACGAATGCATGTAAAAACTGTCCAAATTGGGAAGTTAATTAAGTTTGATAACAACATTTGTTTCTTTATTGTTCAATATATCCATTACTGGGAGGGATTCCGCGTTTATCCATGAAAGGGGCGGAGGCGTGGAGCCAAGACACTAGGCTCATCTAATAAATATTTGAAAAAATATTTATATGAATTTTTTTACATTAATTATTCAGACATTTTTTTAATTTGGGAGTTGGGACGACTGACGAGTCACCCTATTCTTGGAGGATTTTACTAATTATTTCTCTGTGATCATGATGGGTGACGAGAGTAAAAACGAAAACACCAATTAAAAACGTGAAACATTTGCATATTGACTTGAGATGTAAATGTTTGCACTTATTACATAAAATAAGTAAAAGATTTATCCAATTCTAAAATAGGAATATTATATTTTCTCTCTCTAATATTGTCAAATTATGCATATAGTTGACTTTGAAATTTCACATTATTTTTATTCCAATACATATGAAGTTAAACCGTGACACCACTCATTAAGTTTCTTATGGATGGTATTAAAATCATGTTTTTGTACATGCTAAGTTTAATTAAATTACATCTGATCTGGTGGTAAGGATTTTGTTAACAATATAATTTGAAAACCTGAGAAGTAAATGCATGTTGTAGCTAGCTCGATCAAATATTATAAACAATTGCGTTGCTTATAATTGATGCAATTGCGAAGTGGTTTCAAATAAATAAAAAATTGCAACTGTGAGTTTTTTAATGGTGTACAATTCCAAGTGACGTGATCACGCTGTGAAAATTCAACGTGAACAAATTAGATGCATCTAGCCGATTTTGAACTTGGCTTGATTCAGTTGATTGGGAGCAATGCAAGGAAAAAAGCTAAACTAAACAGGTTCAGGTTGGTATGTGTACGTATGAACTATGAGAGCATACAAATGATGGGTCGATCCCTTTTAGTTGTCTTAATAGGCGTAGACAAGACCCATATTTCTGCAAAAGGACCAACTTGAATGTGAAATAGGCCGGCTAGACCGTTACAAATGGAATTATTCAAAACAAGCGCTATCATATACTTGGTCAAGAATTATAGGATAATTTTTTTATTGGTCTACCTTGGCTGGTTAGATGATCAACCAGTCAGCATTGTTTTCTTGTAGTGCAGTAGACCAAGTGGAAAATTTCAACAAGGGCCTAAATAGTTGAAATTGAGCCAGCCCTAAAAAACGCATCTGAAACTTCTAGCTATCACTTTTGTAGTTAGTTAACTCAAAAATTACCAAAAAAAAAACCCTTGTGACGAACCAGATTCACTTCAGGACTGGCCAGTTATAGAACGTCGTGCATTCAACACATTAACTTTAGATGTTCAAAGTTACTTTAAAAATAAAAAGTAAGTAAAATAGTAATCATTTATCTATTTGTTACATCCAAATGTTTGGTTTTTAAAATTATAATCATTTGTACTTTCTTTACCAAAATAATTTAGGTTTCATGAAAACAAAATGGTATGGTGACTTATCCGAACTGGTTGCAGATAGAAAACTGTTGACACGCCGGAGATTTAAATCCATTGAGGGTACTTAGTTATAGACTTATAGTCGTAGTCTATTTTTCTAATAAAATTAGTATATGATCTTGTTACCATCCGATGTTATTTTGAAGGAGTCAAATTATCGGGGCATAGCTCACCTGGTAGGAAGAGAGTGTGACATGGAAGATGTCTTGGATTCAACTCTAAGCAATGACTTCGTATGAAACCAGGCTCTTTTCATCGGAGTGTGATTAAAGCTCAACTTACATCCTCTCACATAATTGTTCAGTCAGTTTTGGAGATCCTCAAGGATGGATGTCTTTTTTTTGGAGTCAAATCAAGACCAGTTTTAACTCTATTTGCTTAAATAAATAACGGCACACAAGCAGATGTGGTCTTCTCTTGGAGGATTGGTGGATATAAATCAGAAACAATGGCACAAATATTACTTCTCACTTTTTATTAGACAAAAATGTGACCAAATTTTAGTTGGACAAAAATGTGAGTAAAACAAATCATCCACCCTCGATTTTTCTCTACGCTCTGTCGAAGACTTCCGCACTGGACAAAGTTCATCTCTGCGCTTAGACTTCTCTCTGCGCTTAATCGAAGCCTTCTGCTCCCAGATCGAACAAAACCTTGCCAAAGATCGTCGTTTTCCTCTCCTAGATCTGACGAAACTTCTCCGCTCTCCACCGTTTCCAGATCTGATGAAGGTCATGAAGCTCCTTCTCACAGATCGTCGTTTTCCATTTCCGTCACAGTCCCCTTCTTCTTCTTTCTTCTACGGTTGGGTCTGGAGTGGTGGGCGATGGTGGCTACAGTTAGGTTTGAGGTAGTTGTGGGCGGCGTTGGGTGACGGCCTGGTTGGGGTCACGGCACAGGGGGATGGGAAGGTTGGGGAGGGGGCTTGAAAGGTCGAGGATGGGGCTGGGAAGATCGGGGAGGGGGTTGGGGGTAGGGGTGGACCGGGCCCGGTCCGGTTCCGGTTCGGGCCTGGGCCCGGTCCGGTTCCGGTTCGGGCCTGGGCCCGGTCCGGTTCCGGTTCGGGCCTGGGCCCGGCCGGGCTTGGATGGTTTTGGGTAAGGCCCGGGATCGGCCCGGGAGTCTACCGATTCCGGGCCGGTTCCGGTTTAATTTTTTGTGTGTGTGTTTTCTTATTTAATTCAACCCCCACCTCCATCCCCCCACCCCCAAACTCCTCGGAAACACCCAGCCCAGCCCACCTAAACCCAGGCCAAACCCAAAAAAAAACCAAAAAATAGAGCCCGAACCGGGTCTGGACCGGCCGGACCGGTTCACCCATTTCGAGTCTCGGAACCGCCCCCGGTTACCCCCTCAGACCGGGCCTAAGCCCGGTATCGGATCCATGGCTAGTTGGGGGTGGTGCAGCGACGCCACGACGGTGGTGGGGTGACAGTGGTGTGGGGTGGACAGAACGGTGGTGTGGTGTGGTCGTGTGGGCCTGTGGAGTGGCAGGTGGGCAATGGCGGTGGTACGATGTTGGGTACCGAGGGACATTGACGGTGGTGTGGGGTGCGCAGTTGCTGTAACGGTGATGTGGGGGTGGGGCATTGGCGGTAGTGCAAGGTCTGGTTGTCAACTGGGGAGTGATGGTCACTAGTGGGAGATAGTGGTGTCACTATCGCCGGCGGCGTCAGTCCGCGATGGAGATGTCACTACAGAAAGGTCACTGTGACTAGAGGTTCGGGCGGAGATGTTACTACAGAAATGTCATTTCAGGGGTATCACTGAGATCGACAGCGGTGGGCGTGGCGGTGACATGGGCTATGACAATGACATCAGTAACATAAAAATTTGACAATGACATGAATATTTGAGAGTCACTTTATTTTAGTCACATTTTTGTCTAAATATAAAATTAGTCACTTTTTTGGAAATCCATCTTAATTTAGTAATATTGAGAAAATAACCCCAACAAATCACCCAAAGTCTTGGACTATGTCCATATTTTTCGCTGGTCGATTCCCGTGTGAGCTCCCGTTTAAACCTCATTTCAACAGTCTAGTCCTCCGTTTGATAGAACCGAAACTTTATACATACCAACAATTCTTGGTGTACACCTTCTTATACACATCGGTACACCCTCGTGTCTGTGAGAGTTTTTTGTCTGTGAATCCCAGTCCACGGACAAAAATAAGCTTGTTTTGTCTGTGAAAAATTCTACAGACAAAACAAGCCTGTTTTTGTCTGTGGACTGGGATTCACAGACAAAAAAAACTCTCACAGACACGAGGTGTACTGATGTGTACAAGAAGGTGTACAAAAGGAATTTTTGTATACATAAAGTTATTAAGTTACTCTTGCTGTATTGGTTCAGATTCAGATTGGTTCTAGAACCTAAGATTTAAGATTCCTCTAAAGAATAGAAACCGTGTGCACCTCAGAGCTAGACTACACACTAATCTATCATTTTGAAATTAGTGTTGCTTCAAGCCTACAACATTGAAAGCATAACAACAAAAGAAATGCTACAAGTCTTCGCGCTAAATTGATCAAGATTACATGTCCTTCAAATGATACAACCAACTAAACTACAAAGACCTAAATATACCAATAATGCAAGCAAACAAATTAGGTGATATTAAATATATGTGTCTACATGTATATAATAATATAATCCCTAGAAACATTTTTTGTGAACAATAGAAGGTCCACTTTCATCATAGTCTGCCTTGGTGATGTGTTGGTTTTGAGGGAAGACAACTTTTGCAAGTATGGCACCACCGACCCATGCCGTGTACATATTCAAATTCTCTGGCATGTACTCTGGTGGCTGTAACAACAACAGAAACTTAAGCACATCATCCACTATATGATAACCATGATAAGAATAATATCTTTAACAGCTGCTCAAATAATGTCCCATGGGAAATATAAGGGAACATCTAAGAGCATCTCCAAGATGAGTAGTAATAGTGGAGTCTCCATCATCATTAAAAATCTCATGTAATTGGCTATCGGGTATCCAATCAACTACAGGTTGCTTATTTTATAGTCAACCCGATTAACCATATCATGTGAGTTTCTTTACTAGGGAGAGTAAGGGGGTGTTTAAAATTGATTCTACTTTCACTTCTGCTTCTTTTTAAAAGCAGAAGTAGAATCAAAATCAGTTTTTTAAAAGCTAGTCTTTCTTGAAAAATTGCTCCTGCAATTTGGAGTACTTAGAAGCACTTCTGCACTTCCATCCAAGCACTACAATATTTGCTTCTGCTCTCTGAAGAAGCAGAATCAGATCCAAACACCCTATAACTATCATTTTCCATATGGATGAATGAACAGGGGTAATGCTACGTACATCCGACCACCCCTTACCCCACCGTAGGTGGGAGCCTTTGCGGCACTCGGTAATGATGAAAATGAACAATGTAAAAGAACTTAAGGTTACAACGCATTTTAATACCACTAAACTACCTTTACTAAAGAAGGGCTGATAGCCGATGAGCATAAGTTTGCTTCTCTCTGGAATCGATCTTCAAACCCTGCAATGGTTAGCATCCTGATTACAAAATGACACATGCAATGACTGAGTTAACAGAGCAGAGGGTTCCAAATGCAATCAGGGATAAAGTATAGGTATCCCTGATTAAAAGCACATTTTAAAGTGGGGGTGAGGGCAGTGGTGGATTTATGCCTTAAACAGAAGATCATATGGATAAAACCCAGAGCGAGTGAGTATTGCAAAAAGGAAATGTTGCTTTTGTAAATCTTAGGTGCATTGAGTAAAGATAGGAACCAACCAGCCATTGAAACAGTGCCCCCACAAAGCACAGTGTTTTCAAGCAGTTGGCGATGATTCTCAGAAGATACAGTTGAGATACTATGGACGAGTTGCTCAACAATTCCATGTGTTCCTAAACCCAATATGGAGGGCTGGAAAAAGGCCTCCCCAACAGTATATCTTTCTTTCCCAACTTTTATAACCTAAAATACAATATATAAAGAACTTTCTTTAGCCTACACAAAAGAAATGAATAATATGAGAGCAAGCTAAAGAGCAAGTAGATAAAGAGACCAACGAGTCATGAGCCAAAAGCATTACTTATTTATTTATTTATTTATTGAAAGATATGAACAATGTATATTCAAAATCGTCTGGTGATGGAACCAACTAAAAGTAGACAGCATCCTTTGAGGCGAACAAATAGAGTTTGGACAGTTTAGACAACATCCTTTGAGGCGAATAAATAGAGTTTCTTCATGCGGTAGTTTCTGAATGAGTCTTATTGTTCGAGATCATCGTTTCGAAGATGATGAAACTAAACCAATCATGGGGTATATTTACAGAGCAATGGAAAAGGCAAAAAGAAATGATAGTCATTAACAACAATGAAAGCTATATAAAGGTGTATATAAAGGCAAAAAGGGCACCTGGCCATCAGGCATCAATGAAAGCTATATAGATGATAGGTGGAATTGTCAACTTCCCCAGACCTTACATGGATTATTTGGCAAACTTTAAACCCATAAATCATAAGAAAAAGTTGCCTCTTGTCACCAATTGGTTGATTTTCTAAATGAGCCCCCCAAGAAAACTAATGATTGAATACATTTATTACAAGATCATAGCATTTTATTTACATTTATTCACGAGGGAATCTTGAATATTATTATTGATAACAAGCTTAGATTATTTTTTAGCAAGTTTACTTTCAATTAGAGGGATTATCAAAAGCAGAATTCATTGGGATCTATGAGAAGAATTAAATCCATTGAATTTAAGCAGAAGGAAAAAAGGGCACCTGGCCATCAGGCAGTATGTGTTCCTCTTCCAGAATAGATTGTTGCATCTTATCATAAGCAATATCATCCTCAGCGCAGCATGCATATTGTTCTTTTATCTTCTCAACATCTGAAATCTTCAGTTTCACCATTGGATTAGATATATTAAGCTTTTCTGCCAGCAGTTGCGTCAGATCTGCACCACCGAGTTCCAACCTTCTGGAAGCTAGGTGCTGAACAGCACCTTCAATTACTGGTGCAATATCTGGAAAAAAATGACGAGCATAGAAAGAATATATAACAAGTCAGTCCAAGAACAAACTTGAAGACACCTCACATAGCTATTATCCTAACCCCAACTAAACTTCAATCCCAATTCCCAATCTAGTTGAGGTTGGCCATATGTATAAAGAAAACACGCAAAATGTGAGTCAACTTGCAAGATCTTCAAGTCTGGCTCAGCTGGGCCCAACATTATTGAATTTGATGAACTTCAAAGGCTAAATTATTGTTATACACTTATACCTAACAAAACATCTTACACTACAAGCCAGCATACCAGTGAGGGGGGTTTACACTATATTATCAAAAATCATCTCATTTCAAATGATGCGCTGTTAGGGACCTGAACACTACCAAGAATTAGAGCCTTATTAAGTCATTTTAGTTTTGTTCAATAATAGGGTTTAGGCCCTACAACTTATTAGAAGTGGGCTGGCCCATTAGAAATAGAATAAATAAGGGTGAGTGGGGATTAGATGGGGGGAGAACTTGGGATCAGGACTGGGATATTGGGAGTGAGAGACCACTCGAAGAGTCTCAAACCTTTCCTTTTGTGACTTTCTGTATTCCTTCACTAAATTTTCATTAATAAACTACTACTTTCTTCTTGGATTCTTCCGTTACTTATCATTGGTATCAAAGCCATTGACAAAAGCCTTACCTGCGCATGGTCTTGACCCGATCGAGAATGGAGCAACGTGTGGAAAATCTGGAAAACACCCTAGCGGAAGTGAGAACTGCCGTGAATGAACTGCTTGGCTTGCGTGAGACTGTGGCCGAATTGAAGAATATCATGTTACAGGGTGACCGCCATAAGAGAAGAGGACGATCAACCACAAACCGTCGTCGCCATACTTCAGCAAGCGTGAGCTCCTCTAGTTCTGAAGGTAAATCTCATGAAACTCGCTCAGTTTCACGCAGCCCTTATCAGAAGAGAATCAGCGACCGTGTATATACTGGAAGAAAGGTCGATTTACCACTTTTTAGTGGAGACGATGCTTATGGATGGATGATTAGGGTTAAGCGCTATTTCAAACTCAACCATGTGGCAGAAGAGGATAAAGTAGAAATAATCTTGATAGCCATGGCCGGAAAAGCTCTGAACTGGTACCAATGGTGGGATGAACAGACTGATGACCATTCTTGGGTTAACTTCAAAGATGCTTTGTTCCGGCGTTTTCAACCTGCCTTAGTGCAGAATCCGTTTGGTCCTATGCTCAGTATTAGGCAAACTGATTCTGTAATGGAATACCGGGATCACATTGAAATGGTTGTAGCTCCTCTCAAACTTGCTGACCAAGGGATGTTAAAAGGAGTGTTTCTCAATGGCCTTAAAAAAGAAATTAGCACGGAATTGAAGTTGCACCAGATCAGTGGGTTAACTGAACTGATGGACAAGGCTTTGTTGTTGGAGCAAAAGAATAAGGTGTGGACAGGAAAAAAAAATAAAGAAGAAGACAACATAGGTTGGAAGGAACAGGGAGGAAAAATGGTTAGACCCTGGAACTGGGTAGACGCAACAAAGGGAAGAACACCTGCGTTAAATCCGGAGAGAACACTTTCAGAGAACAAACTGGAGGAATCGCCAAAACCGAGTAAGACATGGGAAGGTGGCCAAAGGTTGACACAAGAAGCAAGAAGGGCTTATGCTTCAAATGTGGAAACAAATGGGGCAAAGAGCATGTTTGTGGAATGAAACATTATCAATTGATCTTGAGGGAAGAGCCAGAAGAAGAGGAGGGCACAGTAGATCAATTTTATGAGCGGGATGGAGCTGAAAACTTGCTGGAACCTAATGCAAAATCAGTCTCTTATCATCCACCTTGAGGACAAGGTGGAAGTTAAAGGGGGGAGTGATGTTAGGGACCTGAACACTACCAAGAATTAGAGCCTTATTAAGTCATTTTAGTTTTGTTCAATAATAGGGTTTAGGCCCTACAACTTATTAGAAGTGGGCTGGCCCATTAGAAATAGAATAAATAAGGGTGAGTGGGGATTAGATGGGGGGGAGAACTTGGGATCAGGACTGGGATATTGGGAGTGAGAGACCACTCGAAGAGTCTCAAACCTTTCCTTTTGTGACTTTCTGTATTCCTTCACTAAATTTTCATTAATAAACTACTACTTTCTTCTTGGATTCTTCCGTTACTTATCATGCGCTTTTGAGAATTCTATGGGGCCCTAGAATGATGCTATTCTGTCATTCCATAGGCTTGTGGAATTCTTTCTTCACGGTCATTTATGCCAAATTCCCAACACTGCATAGGGTTGTCCTGATGTCTAGGATTTATAGATTTAAATGATTTGAATAAATTATTCTTCATCATCATCATCATCATTATCATTATCATTACCCCAATGCCGCAAAGGCTCCCACCTACGGTGGGTAAGGAGGGTCGAATGTACGCAGTCTTACCCCTGTACTAAAGCACAGAGAGACTGTTTCTCGATGACCCATGGTGCAAATCGCGTCGGAAATTGCATGAGCTGACTGCTGCTTCATAACAAAGAAGCGCAGACATTTTAGCGAGTCATTTTGCTTTATTACATCATATTCTCAAGCCAAAAAATAGTGAATCTTTGGCTCCATTGCAAATGACGGAATAAATTATTTGTAATTCAAAAAAATTGAAAAGCCGTAGTAAGTGCCATGTTACTTCAAGTACTACAAAAGCTCCCCTTTTCACTTCTCTTATCTTGTGGGTGCAGAGAAGGTTTCCTAAAAGTTGAGATACTTGAAAGTATGTTCATTGTTATCTCAGTACAGGGACCTCCAACAACAACATAGTCACATATAAGCTGCCTGATGAGCTAAGTGGATATCATTGGCAACATTAACATTGTCACATATTAGCTACAACTAAAGTAGCATAGTTTTGCTCCAAAATTGGTATTGAGGCTGTTGTTGTATCATACTTCATCCGGTCTTAGTTACAGTTACAGAGAACCTTTCTAAAAGGGGTTCAATGGTCCTTTTTTGACAATTTCCCTAGGCTTGTGCAAATTGGAGTTTTGGACAAATAAGTATAAAATTATGCATAATATCTGAAGGAGAACATAAATTACATTGAACTAATACTGTCCTATGAACCTCCTTGAAGGCTTGAGCATTTATTTAGCTTATTTATAAGAAGTGCAAAAAAAAAAAGATAACGTGAAAGGCAGATTGAATACTAACTCAATTATCTGAGAAGAATATGCCTTGACTTAGAAAATAAGATTAGTTACCCACAATACTCAAAGCCTTCAGTATTATAAATACTTGATGATGTTCCTTTCTTACATACCAAAAGAATGATGACTAGTTAACAAAGACTAATACCTATTTTTCCATGACCAATGTCAACGGTGCATCCTGATATCCGCCCAACAGCATAGAGAGACAGCACTGCTTGCTCAGAGGCATAAAACCCTGATATGTTAAATGTTTCAAACATCAGCTGCACTAATTGTTCTCTAATTGCCTGTTGATCAGGAAAGAAAGAATTTAACATTCCATATACGGAGTACTTTTTTAATTTGTTCAGAATATTCAACTGTCATTACTCACTATTCAAGCCGACTTAATCTTTCACTAACAAAGATGCTTTTCATGCTTTACCACCAATTTGTGCAAATAGATAATGATAGAATCTTTTTTCCTTCATCCCGCTTGTGGTAGAACATTAACAACTAATTTAAATTCCAAAAAAAAGTTTGTACTAGCACGGGGGGGGGGGGGGGGGGGGGGGGCTAAAAGACTAAAATTTGTTGGAAGCAAAATACATAAAAACAATAAAACTTCTTCCGAGGATTGAGGTTGGGGTGGGGTAGAGCCTGGGGCCTGGAGTGAAGCCGTAGTATACCTTGGGAGTGCAAAGTGGATCAGTGAACAAGATTTGGCCCTCATTTCCAATTTCCCAGCCAAGGCCGGTGTAAAGAACATGGTGCAATAGGTCTTCCATTGCATCCCAATCCTTCACAAAGCCGTGTACAATGGGGTCAACCTCTTCCTCCTCTGCAGCCTCCTCAACCGCCGCATCCGCGGCACTGTCATCCTCAGGAACGCGCTTCATTTGAGTCGGAATAATCTAAAACCACCAACGATCATAAATTTACATGCGTCTCAAAGGTTGTTTGGAAGATAAGCTTAAAAGTAATTAAAAATAATAATTAAGCAGCCAAGAGTTAGTGAGTGACTACCATGGACGGAGCTTGGTCGGGAATGGCGAAGCCAGATTTTAGGAGTTTAGAACCAGCATCGACGACCACCGCCTCCATGCCGGAGATGTGATAGGTAGATAGCTATGCAACACCACTTCCCGCCGGTGGAGAAGAAAAGGACGGGCGGTGCAGTAAGGTCCGAGATAAAAGACTGGATTTGAAACAAAATTTGAATTCAAAAGCCCAAAAACTTTCATAGCCCAATATCCAAAGAAAAATATTAGGTGTACACAATTAATACACAAAATGTATACAAAAACTTTTAGTTGCTTGTGTAAATAGATAATTTGTTTGAAAATGGCAGAGTTATATGCAAAAATGCATGTGTGCATAGAAAATATATAATTTGTGTGCATATTTTGTGTGCACCAAGAATATATGGATGCGTAGTTTGTGTACAATTCATATCCAATGCTTGTATGGATGGAAAAATTTAAAAAAACATTTTCAACTTTTCATTTAAAACAATTGAGATGAATGCTATAAAGTGTTTTCCACTTATTCTATTACATAAAAAATAACACTACCTACTTTTGCTTTTTAAAGCACTTTTTTCTCAAAAAAGGCAAAAATGACGGTCAAAACATGTTCATAAGTTGTGCCATACAAATGATACAACTAACTATTAGATGTAAAAAATGACAGATTGAAATCCTTGTTTTCACTGATAAGATTAATACCTCTAAATGAATAAAAAATGTGTAGCTCAAATGGACAGCCGTTTTGAGTTCGTTGCCACAGTAGAGCCTAGCGAGCAACCATCTTTTTCAAATTGACTGTCACAGAGTGATGATAATTGATATTGTCATTGAATCTTTCTTGGACGTTTACGTGACATTCCGCTATCGGAGATTCTTGGTAGAGGGTATGACCCAACTCGAATATTTTTCTTTTGTTGTTGTGTTTGTTCTATTCTATAGTGGTTCTTTCTTGGGCACTGTCACTCCAGTGTCTTTTGTCTCCCTCGATGTCAGGAGTTGCTTTTGTGCCCCGGCCAGCTTCGTCTGATCAAGAGTTTTTGTCCGCCTGCTTTTCGGTTGTGTAGAGAATGGTACATGCATAAACATTATTTTTGAATCGACTTGTTTCTACGTCTATCTGGAACGAAGTAAGAAGAAGAATTTAGTATTCATCCATATTGTTGCCGCTTTTCAGTCTGCCTGCTTGTCGGCAGTTGTTTTTCTTTAGTAGTACTTTTTTTTATTCTAGGGGGTGTTTGTTAAGGTGTAAATTAATCATTTTACATGGGAAGTGTAGGGATGCAAACAATTTACACTGTTTGGTATGATTATTTAATGTAAATTGTAGGGTATTATTTTAGAACATTACACATTATACCAAGTCTAATTTCCATCATTTGCAATGGAGCCAAAGATTCATTATTTTTGGCTTGAGATTATGATGAAATAAAGCAAAATGACTCACTAAACTATCTGCGCTTCTTTGTTGTGAAGCAGCAGTCAATCCATGCAATTTTCGACAGGATTTTCACTATGGGTCATTCGGAAACAATCTCTTTGTGCTTTAGTACAAGGGTAAGACTGCGTACATCTGATCCCCCTTACCCCACCGTAAATGAAAATGACTACACATTATACCAAGTAAAACACTTTACGTGGAGGTGGGGGTGGGTTGTTAAATATTTTACATTCTTAATATAAAATTGATCAAATTAGAATTTTACAATGCAGCACCAACCGTTCTTCACGTCACACATCTCCCACCCTTGCTCACCAATTATTCTAAACAGCAGCACCGTTATTCTTCTGCTTCTGATCAACATAGTTTAGGAATTATACCACTAATAACTATGATTCTTAGGCTTATTTATGTGTTGTTTGGAAGCCTTGTTTTATGACTTGTTAATTAGTCTATCAATTATCAATATTGTTTTTTGCCAAATACTATTTTCGTGGCTTAATTAGCATGGTGAGTTATTATATAATGATTTATACTCATATAGCTTTTTCTTCTATAGAGACAGAGTTAACAGGATGTTAGGTCTTTCACAATCCACGTATATTGACAAAATACTACATCGATTTAAAATGGAAGAATCTAAGAAAGGATTCCTCCCGATGGGTCATGGGATATCGTTATCAAAGAAGGATAGTCCTTCAACTGATGATGAGATCAAACGCATGAGAGGGATTCCATATGCTTCTGCAATTGGTTCAATCATGTATGCTATGATCTGTACTAGGCCAGATGTGGCTTATGCGCTTAGTATTGTTGGTCGATATCAAAATAATCCAGGAGAACGGCATTGGAGTGCTGTTAAGACTATTCTTAAGTATCTTAGACGAACTAAAGAATATTTCTTGGTTTATGGTGGACAAGAGAAACTAATAGCATCTGGTTACTCTGACGCTAGCTTCATGACAGATAAGGATGACTATAAGTCACAATCAGGTTATGTTTTTAATCTCAATGGAGCAGCAGTAGCCTGGAAGAGTTCCAAGCAAGACACTACAGCTGATTCGACAACAGAAGCCGAGTACATTGCTGCATCAGAAGCAGCTAAAGTGGCCGTATGGATATGTGAATTCCTCAAAGAATTAGGGGTTGTTCCAAATGATAGTCATCCAATAACCATTTATTGTGACAATACTGGTGCTGTTGCACAAGCAAAGGAACCAAGATGCGACAAGAGGAATGGACATGTGCCGAGGCGCTATCATGTGATTCGAGAGCAGATAGCAAGAGGAGAGGTTGCAATAGAACGTGTTTCCACTGAGGACAATTTGGCTGATCCCTTCACCAAACCTTTGAGCTGTGAGAAACATACTAGACATTTTGAGAATCTAGGTGTTAGACGCATTGGTGATTGGCACTAGGCCAAGTGGGAGATTGTTAGTATATATGTCCTAGCGACAATCATTTCTTTAAAGACATATGTACTTGATCACATTTAGTTTTTATATTTGATATATACACGGTATTACACTTTATGAATGATTGTTTTCGATTGTCAATGTTTTATTCATAATTGTGTTCCCTTGGATTTATGTTGTCAATAAGTAAGTGGGAGCTTATATGATACAACATAAGGTCCTAAAATAGCCCCAATCAATGATCATCAAGAATGGGATATTGATGATATGAGATAAGATTGGTATGTGGACTGCATCATACTTTTAGAAAGTATAGTTGATCTCACGACTATGAGTTCCTGTAATTCATGATGGTCACATAGATATTTTAGAGAATATTGGCATACCCACCGAGAAACCATTTGATAAGTTCTATTCATGTGTCTATGGGATTATCGGCGTATAGAGTAGTGTAATAGTCCTCCGACTTGAGGTCAATACGTACTACATGTGCGGAGTGATGTACTTTGATCATGACCAACGCTTGCACTCCAATCGGGGTAGATACGGCATGTGTTGGGTGCATCACGAAGCACATGGAGTAGTAGTTGAGCCAAGAAAGGATTCATTCCTCATAATAGATTAAGAGAGAACATTCTACTTCTCATATCTAGATGGATCATAAAGTCATTGGCCAATGCAAAGATATATTCGTTTTGGATATCGAATATGATCGTTATGGATCATCTAGAAAGATTGAGAGACAGAGACTGAGTTATTGGGATAGACACTATATCATGTTCTAGACTTAGTTGAATGTTCGCTGAATGAAAGGACCGTATCACTATGAGCTCTATATTACAGGGAGTTTGTATAGTCCTCGCAAACGTCCTTATATATTAAGTTTGTCTGGAGAATCGTCTAGGGATTCGCTAAGACCTTAATTTGATTAGTGCTTAATATATAAGGCCCTATGGGTCACACAACAAGTGATCATACCTTCCGATTGAATTGTTAGAAGGAATTAAATATTATTAATTGGATTAAATAATATTTAATTCGTAATACTGAAAATGAATTAAATATTAATTAGATTAAACATATTTAATTCATAAAGCTGAAGGAGAGTTCTATTTGATAGAATTAATTAAGTAAGATAAATTAGATTTATCATACTTAAATAAGATGTATTTATTATTAAATAAAGTAGATATTTTCTTTTGTAATTTGGAATTAAAAGAAAAGTAAATAAAATAAATATTAATATATAATAATTAGAAAGTGGCGTGCAGCCACATCTCAATTATTATTATTATTATTTTGTTTTGTTTTATCTACTTATTTAATTGATTAGGAGTATTGGTCCTAGTAGGATTAGAACTCATTAATTAGAAAGACTTTCATTGTGATTGGAAAACTAGTTTCGAACTAGTATAAATACATCCTTCTCCTTCATAATTTTTAGACCAGTTTTTAGATTCAGTATTACCAGTTTATTTCCCCGCAAAGAGATTTCCTAGCCTTTCTCTTAGGGAGATCTAACCGTTCTTTCGGAGAGGAGAAATCACGTGGATACCTAAGGTCAAGGATTATCATCGCTAGGCTGGAAGATCTGTAAGTTCTAACTCAGATCTGTTATAATTATCATATTCGTTATTTTGTCATAATCAGGAAAGATCTGTTTGGGAAAATTTTAAACTTCCGCTGCCGTACTTTCGAGGTACGTTACATCAATTTCCTAACAGGTCTTTGATGAAGTGGTACCGCAGATCGATGTGTTTGGTGCGGGAGTGGTGGACAGGGTTGCTAGTGATGGCGATTGCGCTCTGCGAATCACCGTAGATCGGGATATGGTGGAATGTGTAACCGTAGTCTTTGAGCTAGGTCTTCATCCATAATATTTGCGAACAACAACTAGCAGCCGCGACGTATTCTGCCTCACCTGTAGATGTTGACACGCAGTTCTGCTTCTTGGAAGACCAGCAAACTAACTTTTCACCCAAGAATTGGGCGCCTCCCGAAGTACTCTTTCTATCCATTCGGTAGCCAGCAAAATCAGCATCCGAGTATCCGACAAGGTCAAAGTCTGAATGCTTGGGATACCAAAGGCTTAAGTTCACCGTGCCTTTGAGGCATCACAAGATCCTTTTTACAGCTGTCAGATGTGATTCTTTCGAATTTGCTTGAAATCGAGCACATAAGCATGTGGAGAATACAATATTAGGCCTGCTAGAAGTGAGATACAACAAAGATCCAATGATAGCCCTGTAATTTGTGGCATCAACTGGTTTCCCTGAGGGATCTGAGTCCAGTTTGTTATTGGGGGACATAGGGGTCTTCATGGAAGATTTGCCA